GTCTCCCTCCGTCCCCGCGTTGTTGCAAGTTTCGAAGAAATGTGCAACGTGCTGTTTTGGGTTTCCTTTTCCATCAAACTGCATGAACTTTGGTGGTTGATAACCCCTTGGCATCCTTAGGGCATCAATCTTCTTGGAATAGGGCTTCGAGTAGAACAAGGAGGTATGTGAGCTCCCTTCGTACTGTGCCTTGATGGTATTGGTGATCATCTCCTGCAGCTGCTGGATAGAAAGAGATCCCATGAGTGCCGCTGCTTGGTCTGGTTTCGGCTTCCCATCGATTTTCTTCACCGGGGGTTCTTCGTCTCCGTCAGCTCCTCCCTTTAGTGGATCATCCTCTGGGTCGGGTTTATCGCCGTCTTGCGCCTCCAATCGGTTGACTAGTGCTGCAATTTGCAAGTCTTTTTCTTCCACAGTTCGGGTTAACCTTGCGATTCCTTCATTCATTTGAGCCAGCTGCTCATCGATTGAAGTTGCTCCAATAGTCATGACTTGCATGGCTGAACTGTCGCTTGAATCGGCATCGGAGAGCATGGATTCGGAGTATTTCCTTGGGCTTTCCCCCCTTGGTGCCCTTAGTGAGGCTAAGGTGATCAAAGGCTCGTGCCTTGGGTGTTTTTGTTCCCTTGGCAGAGTTGATGCAGAGGTGAAAGAGGCGGCAGAAGTAGCTCTTGCCATGCTTCGAGTCGTGATGCCCAAAGTGACACCAGTTGCGACGAGGACGCTTTTGTTCTTTGCGCCGGTTGCGGGAACAGTTTGAGCCTTCCTTGATGCCATTAATTTTGGAAGCGCGCTTGAATTTCTTGAACGGAGAAAGAGATGAGAGGCAGAGATTGTCCCACTGGGCGTGCCAATTTGTGAACACGGAAAATTCCTGAAACGAAAGAGACAAGAACAACGTGCACAAACAAATATTTGTGTTTGATGATTTTGGGTTACAATCTCTCTCAAATTTGATCCTCTGATTCGATCTCCGTAAGGTGCTGATTTGTGGATATTTTGTTGATCCAAGGGCCGTCAAGGCTTGATCTTGGATGAACAGTTGGAAGTTTCTTCAAAGGGTCGTGGGCTTGATCTTTGAAGGTGGATTTGAGCGGATCTTCAAGGAGCCATTGGGGCTTGATCTTGATGAACAGTTGATGGATGGATCTTCAAGGGCTTTTGGGCTTGATCTTGAAGAATGGTTGGATGTGTGGATTTGTTGATGTCGTTGATCCAAAGGGCTGTTGGGGCTTGATCTAGGGATGAACGGATCTTCAAGGGCTTTTGGGCTTGATCTTGAAGAACGGTTGGATGTGTAGATTTGTCGACGTTTGTTGATCCAGAGGGCCGTTGGGGCTTGGTCTTAGGATGAACAGATGATGAACGATTATGCTTTCTTCAAGGGCCGTCGGGGCTTGATCTTGAATTGGTGGAAGTTCTTCAAGGGCCGTTGGGGCTTGATCTTGGAAGAACGATGAACGAAGAACGAAGAAGGCTTTCTTGATTCTTCGGGAACCTGGATGCTTGAGAGTTTCGGAGTTTCAGGGCTTCAGAGCTTCAAGGTGCCATATGAAATCCTTCCCTCAAATGAATGAAATGGGCTTGTATTTATAGAATTTTCCAAGGCCTAATTTTGAATATAATATCCCAGATGAAATAAGTCGTTTCTGCCAGGTGTTGACACGTGTCCTATTTGATGACTTTTCCAACTCATTTCAATTTTCGTTGAGTCACACGCTACGTGTAAAATTTATGTAATACATGAGCGTTGAAACTTTGATTTATCGGTCAACATTTATTTACCGAAATTTCGATGTCTACAATATTGGACAAACTTATAATTTCTTATTCATAATTATTTTTAGTTTTCACTAGTAAAAAAATACATAAATAATCCGTAATTGAAATTTAACTTCTTATTTTAATTTTGATTACAAAATTAGTAACCACTGCTAAAAAAAAGTAGAAAAGAGGATCATGTTTGCTCACAACCATAAACTATGGTGTAAGCTTACTATACACCTTATCATTTGTTACGTGTCATTTCACCGAATAGTTAAGGGGGTGTAGTCAAATTAAGATTTTAAAGGATTTTAAAAGTGATAGATTTGATAGGATTTAATGACACACCCCGACCGAGGTCAAGGCATCCTGGCCGTCACGTGAGAGTGACGTAGCCATGTGCACAATGCGGAAGCAATAAAGATAGCAAATATATGAATAATTAAAAACCACATTTCTAGAGTGCACTACTAACAGGAAGTGATAGGAGTTAGTTTCAACCGTAAACACTCCTAATCAGAGCATAATAAGTTTAGGTGCAGTCCAGTAAGACAAGTACTAGTTACACAGTACCAGGAATGTCCTACTATTATTCAAATAGGTTAGAATTGCCAACGATCCCGAACCACCGACATCAAGCTTACTTAGAACCTGGAGGGGCGCAAAATAGAAAACGTGAGTGGGCAAAAACAAATGTTTTACAAAACCATTTCATTTATCAACATATCTAACCCCTCGCTGTAAAACATGTATAATTTTTCCCAGAATCAGAATATAAGCATATACATTAATGAATATGAAAATATATCAATTCAAATCATACTTCACATAATCATAAGCATATATATGTCATGCCAAGATATGACAGAGTAAGCAATTCAGGTAAGAATAAGTTCATATAAATATGATATGTTAGCGGGAACCCCTGAGGTGGTCTGTATAGCTGAATTCATAGCTCAAAAGTAAATTTAGCCGGAGTCACTACAATGACCTATACGGCAATATACTGCACATAAGTCGGAACCCCTAGAAAGGGTCTGTACGATAAGATTGGGTGAAATACAGTTATGCTCAATTCTATTCTCTCATAATAGCGGGGCGATAAATCGCTAGTCACCTACGAGTCGGAGCCATAAATAAGATCTGTACGACAAGACTGTGCACTTAAGTTGGATCCAATATGAGCATATAGTGCATGAGGTGATGTAAATAAATAGGCCTGTACTTCACATCTCTGGCTAAATCACAATCACCCTAGGTGCAGTTTTGTGAGCTCAACCTTATTCAATCACATAACACATCATCGATGATTCATATAACCAAACATAACTTACCTGAACTTACATGTGCCTCCACAGCACCACATTTATATGTATATGCAACCATGAAATGCATATTCAGAATATAAAAGCATTTGACATATTATTTCAAAGCATACTTTCCTAAAAATGCATTTCTGGGAAATATATCAAGTATATAAGTATATACTGAAAACAAAAGCCCACTCACTGGTATGTCGAAGGGTCGTAGCCCCCGAGTCGCATGTGGATACGCTCGTCCTCGGGATAAGTCTTACCTATATGCGAATTAACTATAAAAACGTTATTTTAAAGCACATCAGCAAAACTAGCTAATAACTTCTCATACATTGCTCAATTTTGGTATTTAAATATACCAACGTGGCCTACACAACCTCACGAACATCGTGATATTTTTAGATAAATTTTTAGGTGGCTCACGCGCCCCCACGCGCCGGGGAGGGCACGGCCTCACGCGCCCAACACGCGCATTATCTTCAACCTCCAGACGCCGAAATAGTGTCGCTGGCACCGAATTCTGGGCAGACCTGTAACTGCCTTTTTCTCACTCGTTTTTGCACCATTTTTCACGAAATTTATACCAAAATGAAGCTCTTAACTTGTAGAACACGATCATACTAATTTAAAGCTCTAAAAGTCACATGATCTCACCGGAGAATTCTAAGAAAATCGGTCAAACTTCGTCCACACGATCCCGACATAAAAAACCTTCAAACGAAGCACTCCGAGCTTCCTTGGGACCTCACTAAGCTCGCTATGAGCTTGGATTGTCCTAAAACATAACCATTTAAAAGTTCATAAATAGTGCTAAACTCGGAGCTTGAAGTTTCAACGCGATATCGAACGGGTTCTTACCTGAACTGGGTACCTTTGAACTCGTATGGTCCTCACGATCACAATGGTACTAATTTTGGCCACGATCCGTGAAGTTTCAAGGGTCTTGGGTGTTTATCCGTACCATTTCGAATGAGAGAGAGTGAAACCGAGAGAGAGAGAAGAGAGAGCACAAGAGAGTGAGAGAGAGAGAGACATGATGTGTCGTCCAAATTTTTGGGTCACCAATCAAAACAACCCATTGTCCTTACTTCCAATTGGGTCCAAAATAATAGGAACTTAACATAATGGTCCTCAACCACACATAGTCCCACAATGCCACAAACGCTCAAGGGCATTTTAGTCTTTTCACATCAACGATAACAAAATAATGTACATTTCTGGGACGGGTTGTGACATTTAAGATGATTAAAGACTATTACAAAATTCATATGGATTTTAAAGAATTTGAATGGATTGTGGTGGATTGTGGGGAGGGGGGAAGGATTTGAAATCCTAGGGGGTGAGGTTGGATTCTTTTTAGTTTTGGTTATATATAGTTTTTGCTTTCAAATCCCACAAAATCCACAACTTTTTAAAATACTTTAAAATCTGAATTTTTTTAATACACTTAGATTTGGATGGATTCTAAAATCCTTTAAAATCTTTTAATTGACTACACCTATATTTGAATGGATTCTAAAATCTTTTAATTGACTACACCTAGATTTTAATGGATTCTAAAATCCTTTAAAATCTTTTAATTGACTACACTAGGGTTTTAAAGTCTTTTAAAATCCTCTCAAATCCAAGTATGACTACACTCCCCTAACTTTCCCATTAAATGTTACATTTTCAAGTAAAAAAATTAGAATTAAGTGAAATGACACGTGATAAATATTAGGTGTATAACAAGCCTACACCATAATTTATGAGTGCTGTGCAAAAATGCTCCCTAGTAAATCTTAGAAAAATGGCAAAACCGTAAATAAATTAAATAAAAATATTAAATACAAACCGTAATTGGGTGCGCTTTTAAAAATAATAAATTGGGGGCGGTTTGAAAATAAAAGAAATTGAAGAAAATGGTAACAAACAAGTGGACCAAAAACTTGAAAAAACACACGAGAGAAAAAGAAAGCTTCTGGAAGAAGGGTGTGGACTTTCTGCAAATCCCGTCTGTTAAGGAGTTGTCATTCAGCTTCTCAAAGAAAGGCGCAGCATTCGCACAAAAAGACTGCAGCTTTTTGCCCACCGAACCAGACCCAATGACCGAAGTTCCAAGCTTGGTATCGTCTCATCCTCTTCGTCGGCTTCGGCTTTACGTTTTCTGTCAGCTCCACTCTGCAACAAGATAGAGAGAGGGAGGAGAGAGAGAGAGAGAGAGAGAGAGTTGAGAAGACCCAGAGGAAGAAGAAGCAGAAGGGAGCTTGGAAAAGTAGGAGAGAAGAAAAATGAGTTGATTTGGGTTTGTGGGTCGTTTTCTGATTGACTGAATAATCGAGTTTTGTTGGTGGGAGTTTGGCTATGGCTTTTCGTCCAATGTTTTGTTGCAGAGGGGGATTTTCTCGGTATGTTAATCATTGTTTATTTCCCAGCTGAATTAGATAATTTTGGTTTTGATATTTCTGTTGGTTGGTTTGCTTTAAGAAAATTGTTTTATTATTTAATTAGTAGTCGATTCTAATTTGGAGAAAATCTTGTGATAGGATTATTTGGATGATACAATGAAAGTTGAGGTGATTTTAGGTTCTGGGTTTCTCTCAGATTTTAATATTTTTATGGGTTTGCGATTTGAATGGAGGATTTGCATTCTGGGTTTAGCATCAACAGAGAAGGAAAGGGGAGTTTTTTTAATTCAAATGTCGAATTATCGGTTTCGAATGAAAAGGAAAAGGATAGGGTAAAGAATTAGTGTTGAGTGGGATCTTAACAACCCAGTAAAAAATATTACAAACAGGCATCTAGGGATTGACTATGCTTGGTTTTTTGTTCTGTCCTGTTTCTAATGACTTGGCCACTGACAATCATTTAGCAGACAATGCATCTTTTTAGTTCCATTTTCTCCAGCAACCAAGAGAAGGGTATCGAGTAGTAGAGCAGTAGAGCAGGCATTTATTAGCTGGCCTCTTTGCTATGGATTTTGGGTTGCTTTTGGTTTTCGTTTATTAGTAGTAGAGCAGGCTTTCTGCTATTATACGTCCACTTAGAGCAGTTGTTTGTTTGCTGTGAAGAATATTGATTCACTAAAACACCTAATTTGGTATATATCTCCCATTCAATTTGATTTGATGGAAATCTGATGCGCAGAAAAGTACGAGGAAAGAAGCAGCCAACATGGAGGGTCTTTTCCTTGAAGGAACTGCACGCAGCAACAAACAATTTTAATTATGACAACAAACTTGGAGAGGGGGGATTTGGAAGTGTTTACTGGGGTCAGCTCTGGGATGGATCACAAGTAATCACTAACTTTTTCAGTTTATGTTTATATTTTTACTCTTATCTCTGTTGGTTACTTAGTTAGCTTTAACAGTATATAATTATCAATCTTGATAATTTTCTCTTTTAGTGAAAGAACAGAAATTCTTGGGAGCAGCCTCTCCATAAATGGGGGTAAGGCTAGCCGACATTCACCTTTCCCAGACCTTGCGTAAAGCGGGAGCCTTGTGCACTGGGTACGACCGAGTGAAAGAACAGAAATTAGGCATTGTTCTTGATTTATAAAAACGTCCATAATGGAAAAGGGTACTGTTGGTTGAGTTTTAGTTTCGATGTCTGAAGTCCCATTTAGTATATTTACTGTGTAATCCATTAAATTTATAGATTTTGGAAATGTAATTTTATTTCTTATATTGCTTGATTTAGAGGAAATTTAAGGTTCTTTGGCATTCTGGAGTAATTCAATTTCTGAATTGGTATTATTATGAATTTAGAAGTATGACATAAAGCTGGCTTATGTGGTTAAATATAATTTCATGACGTTTTAGTGCTAGGTTTAGATCAAATGTTTGGATTAGGCCTAATGAAGGGACCAATTCAGTGTTCAAGAGCTTGTAGATATAACAGAATTCGTAGAAATGTACTCTCATCTTTGAAAAACAATGGACGTGACCAATTTTTCTGTATAGGAGGATGACATAGGTATGGGGATGTCAAGATTTGGACTCTTTTCTTGTAAGGACAAAACACTCATATGCTCTATCTATGAACCACTGATATGATCTTCTTAATAAATGTTGATTTGTAAACTGTTAAAGTTCGAGTTAGGTTTTTCTTTTTGTAACAACCAACAAACATCTGAAAACTGCCCAGTTAAGGTCCTTTTTTGTGTGGGTGACTTTCTTACGGAATAGGATTTTCTTTCCTCTCTTTCAAGCCCTACTCTTGATTTTTGGAGTTTCTGTTTTACGTTTTTTTAATGGTTTATTGATAAAATATAAGGATTTGCCTCTGCAAAGAAACTGTCAGTCCATTTGAAATATAGTGAAAAGATTAGGTTGTGAAAGAGAAGACTACTAGGGAATTACAGGAGTTATGGTGCTGATTAGTTCTCAAAACAAGTGAAACCATTATTGCTGTTGTGCAAAATGTTTGCATGATACTTCAAGGATCTTCCTTATATTCAGACGGTAGAATCTACCCTCTGAGAGGAAGATATAATACGGAGATAGTATTTATACATGTACCATGGGTGGGGTATTATGCCTATCCAATTTTACTAAAAATGAAGCAAGCTGATTTTCATTGTCATTAGCCGGTGAGCGCTAATGCTGCAAACTCTTAAGGTTGACTAATAGCTGCTTACAATGAGGCATGCTTGATGTATGTTGATAATGATTTTTCAAATCATTATCTTCTACCCATCAGTTTCACTTTCCAATTGAGAACCACATCAACAGTTCCAATATTTTGGCATATTAGATATACATACTGTTAGCTAAAAGTTGACAAAGTGCACAAGGCTTCTGCCAATGCCGGGTCTGGGAGAGCAGGGCATATGCTGCCTTCAGCCATATTATATCTAGAGAGGCTATGTCTGCGGTTTGCACCTGCAACTACCAGATTGCTTGGTTCAAGCCATTCCACTGTCATGATGATCTAGCTTTCTGAGAGAGAACATGTGTGTAAAAAATTATATCATGTACACAATAACTAAAGTCCATTACTCTTTCTGAAAAAGTCATGCAAATGATAAATCTAAGCCAGTTTAATTCCATGTAGAATTAGTAGTCACTCTAATATTTACTATGTCTGACTCTGTGCTAAAGATTAAGTATTCAGTAGGTGAAGATACCCTGCCCTCAAAAACCAAAGATTTGAAATCAAAGCTTATATTACGCCTAAAAAATATTAAATATAGGAGAAAGGGAAGCCTTTCTTTGTCCTGATTTTCATTATGACTAGAATCAAATAAGTCTTTCATTGGATGTTTCTTGACCATCTCGAGTCAGCTTTCAGAAGCAGTTTATAATTTTTTTTTGGTTTGAGTCTCTGAAGTGGTGAATGCATAGCATCGCCAGCCAGATTGTTGTAAAAGCAGTTGATAATGTTTTTTGTTTGTTTGTCTCTTAACTGGCGAACGCATGGCATCTTGTCTAGAGCCAGCCAGGTTGTTGTAAAAGCAGTTTCCTCTAAAGACCACCTTAACAATTTTCTCAGGCATTAAACTTTTGTACACTTACAATTTTGTGGTATGCTTGATTGACTTTCCCTAAATTTGTTCTTCGCTAGATCATAATCAGTGCAATTGCATATAATGTTTACTAATATGTATGCAGATTGCAGTTAAAAGGTTAAAAGTCTGGAGTGACAAAGCAGACATGGAGTTTGCTGTTGAGGTTGAGATACTGGCACGAGTTCGACACAAGAATCTGCTCAGTTTACGCGGCTATTGTGCAGAAGGGCAAGAGCGTTTAATTGTATATGACTACATGCCAAATTTGAGCTTGCTTTCCCACCTTCATGGCCAGCACTCAGCTGAATGCCTTCTTGATTGGACCCGGCGGATGAATATTGCAATTGGGTCTGCTGAAGGAGTTGCGTAAGTGCCGAACCCACTTTAACTGTAAAAGCTCTTTCTCCTCTCTCTGCAGTTCTCTCTCATATTAATGTTTTAACTTGATTTATCCAGCTATCTTCACCATCATTTAACCCCACATATAATCCATAGAGACATCAAAGCTAGCAATGTGTTGGTGGATTCAGATTTCCAGGCTCAAGTTGCTGATTTTGGTTTTGCCAAGCTAATCCCCGATGGTGCTACTCATGTGACCACAAGAGTTAAAGGTACCCTCGGCTACCTTGCACCTGAATATGCTATGTTAGGGAAAGCATCAGAGAGTTGTGATGTCTACAGCTTCGGCATTCTCCTGCTCGAGCTTGCTAGTGGCAAGAAACCCATTGAAAAAGTGAGTCGAGGAATGAAACGTACGGTTACTGATTGGGCACTGCCATTGGCCTGTGAGAGGAAGTTTGATGAAATAGCGGACCCCAAACTCAATGGAAAGTATTTAGAGGATGAGCTGAAAAGAGTTGTCTTTGTGGCTCTACTATGTGCTCATAGTTGGCCTGAGAGAAGACCGACCATGCTAGAGGTGGTAGAGCTTCTGAAGGGAGAATCAAAAGAAAAGTTAGCCCAACTAGAGAATGACGAACTATTTAAAACTCCCCAGGTTGCAGAATATAATGAGGGGAATGATGGGGCAACAGCAGCTGAAGGAGAGAGCTCAGATTTTATCTCAGATTTTATCTCAGAGGAGAAAGACGAAAAAAAGGATTTGAAAGAGGAGGCTGTGCCTGAGATTGCACATAATGGCTGAGAAAGTGTGAAAAACATGTAGATGTGGGTTTGGATTTAAGCTTAAGATGAGGTTGAACTGGCTGTCAATTTGTAGGAATTGCCGGGGATTATAGCTGTCTTTTCATCTACAAGCATTGGTTTCGTGTTTTCGTGTTTTCGTGAGTGCCGTGTTATCTGTGTGCATTCCTGTTTTGCCTTTCACCCTTTTCTTTTAGGTTTGGTTTGAACATCTCAATGAAACGAGAACTGTTTTTAGTGTTTATTGGCTGGCATTTTTCATCAGTCACCACATCTCTATTTGTTTGGCAACCTAGTGCAAATACACAACGGAAATGATTATTTTTCGTTGATCCTGAGTTCTTATCTATGTTATCAATTTGCTGTTTTACATAAGTAGTGACTCCCTTCCTCGCTTAGGAAGGTAAGAAGGAAAGGCATAAAGTAAGCACCGTGAAAAGCCCAATATTATCAATGGAATTGGAGCAAATTCCATTATGTGGGTCTGATTTGGTGCACCAAGCTGAGACTTATATTTAGCTACTCGATTTGACCTGCTTTGATATCTGTAACTCAAAAGTCATTATTTTACTCCTTGAAACTTAAAAATTGTTCCACTTTACCATGTTTCCGTTCTATCAAATAGCCGTTAAAGTTGTTGCGCGTGGATGTGTTAAATATAATATTATAGGCTTATTTTTAGCTACGTCTCCTGAAACTCGATTTTGATCACATTTTGCCCCCTGAAACTCAAAAGTTGTCATTTGATAAATCGCCACTATGCATTGTTGAATGTTAACGCATAGTGGAGATGAATTTGATTATAAATCCCTTAAGTTTAAAAGAAGAAATTAAGAATTGAGGTTTTGGGGGGGGGGGTGTCACATCCCGGCCCAGGACGGACCACTTCCCGGGCCCGCTCCACCACCGTAGCACGATATTGTCCGCTTTGGGCCCAACCATGCCCTCACGGTTTTGTTTCTGGGAACTCACGAACAACTTCTCAGTGGGCCACCCATCCTGGGATTGCTCTAGCCCCCTTCTCGCTTAACTTCGGAGTTCCGACGGAACTCGAAGCCAGTGAGCTCCCAAAAGGCCTCGTGCTAGGTAGGGATGAGAATATACATTTAAGGATCGCTCCCCTGGGCGATGTGGGATGTTACAGGGGGTGGTTGATGAATTTGATTATAAATCCCATAAGTTTAAAAGAAGAAATTAAGAATTGAGGTTTTTTTTTGGGGGGGGGGGTGGTTGATGTGCTTGAGATGCAAAGATCTAGATAAAATAAAATAAAAAAATGTTTATTTTTAGCTACGCTCCTTGGAGCTCGATGTTAATCTCACTTCGCCTCCTGTAATTCACAAATGTCATCACTTTACTTTTTGAAACTCAAGATTCACTACACTTTACTATGGTTCTGTTTATTCTCAAATTCACTCACATTTTGTCTCCTGAAACTCAAAATTTGCTCTAAATTAACTTAGTTATGTTAATTCCGTTCAAAAGCCGTCAAATATGCTTAGTTTATCCTACCACTACCGACCCCATCTGGCGGGCGAGAGCTCCCTCTTCAAATAAGCATGTACGAAGTATGATTAAGTAAAGAATAGAATGAGCACCAATTGAAATAAGAAAAGAAAATATTATTATCAAATATAGAATAAAAAAAAATTAAAAACACAAATTCTTTCGGTACAACTCAATTTAAACATTGCTTTTGACATTTGCTCGAGTTTAATTCTCTATCTATCTTTAAAAACCACATGGTGAAATTACAAAGTTTTTACATATTCAGAAACTAGGTGAAAAGATGAAGGAAACTAATAAGAGAAATTTTTTTACAACAGATCTGCAAATCTAATTCAATTAAATTGGTTAATAAACTTCAATAAGTAAGGTTACTCATTGCTTTAATTATCAATGTAATTATCTAAACGAAACTAACCTTACTCATTAAAAGGTTTCAGTACATATTTTGCTAAGTTCGTGCAACTGAAAAAAAAAAATATTTAGGCCCTTTGGAGATGGTTATGGACGATGATGAAGAGGCAGAGGTATCTAAAACTAACATTAGGTTAGAAGGGAGTCATCAAACTAAAATAGCAACTCAAGCTCATTATGATTCTTTATCCGCATCAGAAAGTAGGAAAAGGGTAGACATTGCCAGCCAATTTGAAAGTCAACTTTAATTCTCTGTCCCTCCTATATACCAATCAAATACAGAAAGAAAGCAAAGCAAACCACCTCGTAATTTGGATGGTTGACAATTGAGGGAGTCAATTCCAGACCATATACAAGTAAGAAAGAATTTTACTGCATCAAACATGTTCATTTCCTCCTATGCATTCAGACTAGGTAATACCATGTTCTAATTTGAGCCTCTGTGTAGTGACATTCCTAACAAAGTGTTGATCTATATAAACAAGTTGCAGTTTTACATTTTAGTTATGCAAAAATAATATGATCAGTGCTAATCTAAAGAATGACGCTGGAATTGTATGATTACTGCAATAAACATAAGACATCATGTTATAGTATTCTGCTTTCTGATGGACAAGATTGATAAACCATAAAACTTTACTTGAGTTTCAGGTATAACTTCTCTCAATTTCAGTAACATTGACACTAACTGGTTCAACTATAAAAAGTGGAAGCAGGATATTGAAATCGTGCTGGGGCTGATGGATTTTGACCTGGCTTTAAGGGAAGATGAGCCTGCGCCACTCATTGTAGACAACACAGTGGAACAGAAAACTAAGTTGAAAAGTGGGAAAAAGCTAATCGTATGTCACTACTGATCATGAGGAAGGCAATGACTGAGTCAGTGAGAGGGGGCATTCCAAAAAGTAAGAAGGCGAAGGAATTTTGCACTTCAATTGGTGAAAAATTCAAGGAGTAAGACAAGGCAGAAACAAGTAATTTCCTCACCAAACTCACCACAATGAAGTTTAATGTAGGGGTGGGCATAAAAACTGCCAAACCGGAAAACTGAATCGAACCGTGACAAAAAAAACCTTAAAAAAACTACGTTGACCAAAAAAGTCAAAACCGGAACAAAAACCGAACCGAACCAAACCGTTTCAATTGGAAGTAAGGGAATTATTGATTTTTGATTGGTGGCTTTGGACCACACACATACCTTCTCTCTCTCACTCCCGTGCTCTCTCTCTCTCTCTCGGTTTTCACTCTCTCTCTTCCCTCTTTGTACGAACAAGCTTCAACTCACCCCAAACCTTGCAGATCGAGGGTGTAATTGTCACCATTGTGTTCCTTGTGATGCTACGAATCGTTTGACACCAGTTTTAGGTAAGTAATCATTCGAAAACTCGTAAACCCATAACCAAAAATTTCATGCACTGTTCACACTCAGGTAAAATCTTGTGTTTTAGGGAAATCTAACTTATAGGAAGCTTAATGAGATCCTCACGAGTCTCGGGGTAGCTCGTTCGAGGAATTTGGACATCATGATCACGAGAAACATCGAGTTGCAGTTTAGGTCGGAATTTTGAAGCTTCCCCAACGTGATTTCGTGAGATTTGAAGCTTCAAATAGGTATAACACCATTCTTCTCACTCTAAGCTTTCATTTGGTTCAAATTTCATGAAAAATGGTTGAGAAACAAGTGAAAATAGTGAGTTTAAAATTTTACCCAGTTTTTCGGCGGCAGGCGACTCGCTGGGGACGAAGATGGAATATTCCGTCAGTTTGGACAGAATATTCTCACGGTGTCAGTTAGATTAGACGAAATCTGTTAGGTTTAACGGAATATTCCCTAACGGTGGTTAGGGAATCCGTCAGGTTTGGGCAGCGCGTGGGGGCGCGTTTTGCTGTGCCCTTGCCGGCACGTGAAAGATCCAAAAATATTTCTAAAAATATGGGGATGATCCTGAGGTTATGTAGATCATTGTGGTATATTCATATACCCATTTTGAGCAATGTATGAGAAGTTATTAGCTAATTTTGCCTATGTGCTTTAAAATAACGTTTTTATAGTTAATTCGCATATAGGTGAGACTTATCCCGAAGACGAGCGTATCCACAGGCAACTTGGGGGTTACGACCCGTCGACATATTAGTGAGTGGGCTTTTGTTTTCAATATATATTTATATACTTGATATATTTCCCAGAAATGCATTTTTAAGGAAAGTATGCTTTGAAATAATATGTCAAATGCTTCTATATTTTGAATATGCATATATATATAATAAATGTGGTGCTGTGGAGGCACATGTGAGTTTAGGTAAGTTATGTTTGGTTGTGTGGAATCATCGATGATGTGATATGTGATATGTGATTAAGTAATGTTTAGCTCATAAAGCTGCACCTAGGGTGATTGTGAATTAGCTAGAGATATGAAGTACAGACCTGTTTATTTACGTCACCTCCCGCACTATATGCTCGTATTGGATCAAACTTAAGTGCACAGTCTTGTTGTACAGACCTTATTATGGTTCTGACTCGTAGGTGACTAGCGATTTATCGCCCGGCTATTATGAGAGAATAGAATTGAGCATAATTATATTTCACCCAATCTTGTCGTACAGACCCTTCTTAGGGGTTTCGACTTATGTGCAGTATATTGCCGTATAGGTCATTGTAGTGACTCTGGCTAGAGTGACTTTGAGCTATGAATTCAGTCATACAGACTACCACAAAGGTTCCGGCTAACATATCACATTTCTATGAAATTATTCTTACCTGAATTGTTTACTCTGTTATATCTTGGCATGGTATATATACCTATGAATATGATTATGTGAAGCATGAACTAAATTGATATGATTTCAAATATATATATATATATATATATGTATGTATGTATGTATGTATGTATGTATGTATGTATGTATGTATATGCTTATATCTTGATTATGGGAAAAATTATACATGTTTTACCGCGAGGGGTTAGTATATTGATAAATGAAATGAATTAGTAAAACATTTGTTTTTGCCCATTTACGTTTTCTGTTTTGCGCTCCTCCAGGTTTTAAGTAAGTTTGCTGTCGGTAACTCGGGATCGTCGGCAGTTCTGACCTATTTGAATAATAGTAGGACATTCCTAGTACTGTGTAACTAGTACTTATCCTACTGGACTACACCTAGACTTTATGCTCTGATTAGAAGTGTTCACTGTTGTAACTAACTCCTATCACTTTCGTTTAGTAGTGCACTCTAGTAAGCTGGTTTTTAATTATTCGTATATTTGCTATCTTTATCACTTCCGTATTGTGCACATGGCTACGTCACTCCCACGTGACGGCCAACATGCCTTGACCTCGGTCGGGGTGTGTCAGTTTGGTATCAGAGCTTAGGTTTAGCAATCCTGTATAATTCTTGAATGTTCTAATCCTTGTGATG